TTATGCTCGGTAACAAACTTTGCTTCCCCTTAGGAATTTATGCTATCGAGCAAAGGACTATCTAATAATCCTTTGATGGTTTGCACTTGTGAACGGTCGGCTAACCTTTGTCCGATAGCAAATTTAATTTCTCAGTTGGAATTTTACTATCGAGCGAACGATTATCTAACCGTCCACGTGGTTCTTCGCTTGTGTACCTTGTTATTAAAGGTCTTGTTGCTGCCGTTGAAAATTTTCTCGTAGTATGCTTTTCGTTGCTGCTTCATTAAAAACTTTGCTAGGAAAACCCAATTGGGACAAAAACTGGACGAGGAGAAAAAGAGTGCAACACATACTTTCAGTTCAGGTGATGTTTATCAGCAATAATATATTTTGAGGTGTGCCACGTTCCAGTTGCTGGGCAACTTTTATCCATCTTGATTCTCCAATTCATACGAACCTTTCCCGGTGACAGTTGAAATCCGGTAGGGGCCTTCCCATGTTGGACCTAGCTTCCGTACATTGAGCTCCTGGGTGTTTTGCGTTACTTTCCTTAGGACCAAGTCTCCTACTTTGAAATAACGGAGGTTGTCTCTTCGATTATAATATCGTTCTATTCTCTGTTTTGGGCTGCCATTCTTACATGCGCCAAGTCCTTGTGCTCATTGAGTAGCTCCAAGTTTACTAACATTGCTTCATTGTTTGACTCTTCATTTCTTGGAAATATCTCAAAGTGGGTTCCCTACTTTCACCGGGATTAAGACTTCTGCACTGTACACAAGGGAAAAAGGAGTTTCTACTGTGCTTGATTTGGCCGTTGTTCGGTATGCCCATAGAACTCCGGATAGTTCTTCGGGCCATCTACCTTTATCCGCTTCCAACCTTCTCTTGAGGTTTTGTATAATCACTTTGATCGTTGACTCCGCTTGACCATTTGCGCTTGGATGGTAGGGTGAAGATGTGATCCTCTTTATTTTCAAATCTTCGAGGAACTTTGTGATTTTTGCACCGATAAACCGCGATCCATTATCGCATGCCATCTCTTATGGTATTCCAAACCTGCAAATTATGTTTTCCCCACAAGAAATCCACCACCTCGCGTGAGCTGATCTTGTAATAAGGATTTGCTTCCACCGACTTAGAAAAATAGTCAGTCAAAATCAAAACAAATCTTACCGTACCGGGAGCCGGTGGCAGTGCTCTGATAACTAGGGATTCTAGCCTATTTTATGTTCCTTTTTGCTTAGGTTTTAAATTAAAAGTGTGTACAAGTATTCCCTAAAGCTAACTTATTGTGCTTGATTGCAGTGTTTGGTCAAAAAGAGACAAGGAAGTCATAACCAGCTCAAAAAAGGAGTGAAACCTGCACAAGTTCAAAGCTAACTCAAAAGAGCGCTGACAGCGAAAAAACAAATGTGGACGCGGAGAGTCCACCGCTGAGGCGGTCTTGATTTCGCTCTCAGCGGTGGCAAAGTTCAAAGAGTGTGTTTTGGGCTTAACAAGTCACCGCTGCCCGCGGTGATTTAGTGCGGCAGCGGTAGCTTTAGCGCGGCAGCGGTCGATTTACCGCCCTCAGTGGTAGTCAGAATCAGAGAGCCAGAAGTGGAGCGAGTTTATGCTCCCGTTATAGATATTAAGTGAATTTTTTAACATAAATACATGGTTTGGGAAAAAGCTACAAGCTTAAGGCTAGATCCGCCCCTGGTTGAGGTTGTCAAGTTACAAACTCATGGTTGCTCAAATTAGTGTCCTGAATGTTTAGTTGTTCTAATTCTAAATGTTAGCAGTTGCATCCAGGGGCGGAGCTAGAGAGGTGGAAAGGGATTCATCCGGGAGGCGACTACGAGAGCTAAGGCTAGCTTCTCCAAATGTGGGTAGCGAGTTTATGCTCCCGTTAAAATTTTACTAACATAAATAATGGGATATTGCGTACCTTCGTCCTCACGGACTACAACTGCACTTACCCCTACTTCCGAGACTACGAGGTAGACTAATAGTGTTTCACCTTCCTTTGGTTTTGAAAGTAACGGAGGGCTTGTCAAGTACCTTTTCAAATCTGTCAAAGCCTGCTTGCACTCCAGAGTCCATTCGAAGTTGTTTTTCTTTTTAAGTAGTGTGAAGAAATGGTGACATTTTTCTGATGACCGGGAAATTAACCTGCTTGAAGCTGCCAATCTCCCCGTGAGCCTTTAGACTTCTTTCACGCTAGACAGCTGGTCCAAGATGTCTTCGATGGCCTTGGTCTTATCGGGGTTTACCTCAATCCCCCTTTACGATACCAAAAATCTTAGGAACTTGCCAGAGCTGACCCAGAACGCGCATTTCTCGGGGTTAAGCTTCATGTTATGCTTCATTAGGATGTCAAAGGTTTCTTACAGATGCTTAAAGTGATCACCTGCATTCAAATACTTAACGAGCATATCGTCTATATAAACTTCCATAGTTTTTCCTATTTTTTTTCAAACATCTTGTTTACGAGCCGCTGATAAGTGGTTCCGGCGTTCTTCAACTGAAGGGCGTCACATTATAGTAATATGTGTCAAAATTCGTTATGAATGAAGACTTTTCCTGATATTTCGGGTTCATCTTAATTTGGTTGTACCTGGATTATGCATCGAGGAAACTCATTAGCTCGTGTTCGGCTATCGCATCAATCATTTGATCGATATTTGGCAGTGGGAACGAGTCTTTCGGGCACGCCTTATTCAAGTCCTAATAATCTACACACATGCAAAATTTATTGTTTTTCTTAGGATCTACGACTACATTAGCTAGCCAGTCTAGATACTTTACCTCTCGGATCGTACCGGTATCAAGTAAGCGAGTTACCTCTTCTTTGACAAATTTATTCCTGGCCTCCGCAATAGGGCGCTTCTTCTGTCTTACGGGGGATATGTTGGGATCCAAACTTAACTTTTGTACGGCTACCTCCGTCGAGATATCTGTCATATCCGCATGCGACTATGCAAAACAATCGGCATTAGATTTAAGAAATTTATTAAAGCCAGACCTGAGCTCGGGGTGCAGTCCTATCCCCAAGTGGAATTTCCTTTCTAAGAACTCTTCGAACAATGTAACTTGCTTGAGCTCTTCCGCCGTGGATTTTGCTGCATCATCTTCTCGTACCTGGAAATACCTTGGCACCTGATAGGATTCCGACGCTTCTACCCTCGGGCTAACTTCATCTGATTCTTGAGCGGGCTCCGGTTCCTGTAGTTGTTATGTTGTATGTTCCTTTCCTTTGCTACTAGAGACCGAAATTGCATTCATATCCCTTGTCGCCGGTTGGGCACCCCTTATCTTTTTAACTCATTCGGGCGTTCTAAATTTCAGTAATTGATGATACGTTGACGGTACAGCTCTCATCTCGTGCAACCATGGTCTTCGCAGAATAATATTATACCCCATATCACCATCTACCACTTCAAAAAGAGTTGTTTTCATCACTCCTTCGGCGTTCGTGGGCAACAAAATCTCTCCTCGGGTTGTCACGCTCGCGAGGTTGAATCCGGCGAGTAGTTTTGTGGCCGGAATAATGCTTCCGGTGAGTTTAGCTTGCTCCAATACTCTCCATTGTATGATATTGGCCGAACTTCCTGGATCCATTAGAACACCTTTAATTTTAAAGCCTAGCACATTTAAAGAAATTACCAGTGCGTCATTGTGCAGTAGCAGCAATTAATGATAGGCTATAATTGTTTATTTTAGTCGCTTATTACACTCAAATTTACTGCATTTTAATTGAGTTTGAGCTTTAATCGCTAGTGTCTTGCACTAATTGTGTGTTTTATACCTTGTAGGAGTGATTCCGAGCTATGTAGACGTTATGGAATAAATTCAAGTGATTTAGAGCTTTGAAGTCTGACTAAAATCTCAAGGAATTAAGCCGGGATCGTGTTCGGGGGTTAACGGATGATAGTTAGAACAAACGAAGAATCGAGTAGGCATATTATGCACTGTCTAGTAAAATGCACATACCTTTTTGCTCAGAACTCCATTTGGGTTCCACAATATATGGTTGGAAAGATAACTCAAAGGGCTACAACTTTCATGTTTGACGTTTTTCGAAATTCCAAAAGGAACAGGGTGAAAAACGCGGTCGAAACCGCGATTGCGGACCTGGTCACGGACTGAGGCAGTGCACTTGTTAATATGCGCGGCCACTAGCGCACCCACGCTAGTCCAGGCCTGGAAACTTGTCCTTTTGGACATTGGAGAAGGTATAATTGTTTGGGCCCAACCCTACTTGGTATATATACATGGGAAAACGGTATTTTGAGGAGGTTGGACAGATTTGAGACACAGATTCGACCTAAGGAGGCAGAGACACAATAGGAGCAAGGCGGGCAATTCTTCTACGAGTTTTTCCTTCCTTTTCCTATTTTTCATTGTTGGTTATGACTTTTAGTATTGTAGTTTTACATACTATTATGAATAGCTAATTTGTTATCTAGGGTTTTGATGGAACCTTTTGAAGGATAAATTCTTGTTATGTTTTTATATAATTGAGCCGTAGTATTTTCTCTATTTGTTCAACTATATTATTCTTGTGGTTGATTGAAGGGCCCTCAATTAGCTGTGCCTATTTAGTATGTATTACTCGGGAGAGAGTGCATATTTAGGTAGTTGTTGAACAACATCACTCCCGACGTATGTGAGGCATCAATAACCAAGGGTTTAAAGGTGGGATTAGGGATAACGAAACCTTGGGTGCAATCTAAGTGAGCTGTAATTAAAGCCAACTAGCGTAACTTGGGAGAGTATGTCTAGTAAATTGTCGTAATTACTCGGGATAGAATTACAACACGTAGAACGCTCATGATCGGTAGAGAATACTTAGGCGAAATTATAGAAGACATAGCGGGAAGGATTCCAGACAATTTGAGAAATCATAACTCTAGACCTCCTTAATCTTTTCTCCAACCTGTAGTATCTTTAGTGTTAATTTATTATATTAATTTGTTAGTTAGTTAGTTAAACACAAGAATCTTAATATCTATAAGTTAGGAATTGTTCAAGCTTGTATTCTTGGTGACAGTGAACAACTATAGTTAAGCCNCAAACTTATATATATATATATATATATATATTAGTTTGCTACCCTTGGCTCATCTTTATGTCCCTTTCTCATATCATATCCAAATTACATAAATATTAGGTTTTTCTTTTTTTTTTTGCTTTTAGCCTGTTGATGATAGGCTATAATTACGTATTTTTTAGTTGCTTATTACACTCAAATTTACTGTACTTTAATTGATTTTGAGCTTTAATCGCTAGTGTCTTGCACTAATTGTGTATTTTATGCCTTGTAGGGGTGATTCCTATGTAGATGTTATGGAATGAATTCAAGCAATTTGGAGCTTTGAAGTCTGAGTAAAAGCGCAAGGAATTAAGCCGGGATCATATTCGGGGATTAACGGATGATAGAGCAACAAAACGAAGAATCGAGTAGGCATATTGCGCACTGTCTAGTAAAATACACATAACTTTTCGCTCAGAACACCATTTGGCCCCCACAATATATAGTTGGAAAGCTAACTCAAAGGGCTACAACTTTTATATTTTACGTTTTTACAAATTCCAAACTGAACAGGGTGAAAAATACGGTCGAAACCGCGACCGCGGACCTAACACGGACTGAGGCAGTACACTAGGAAAGTACCGCGCCTGTACCGCGCCCTTACTGTGGCCGCGGACGTCCAGGCCTATAAAATTGTCCTTTTTCGCGTAGGAGAAGGTATAATTATTTGGGCTCGAACCTACTTGGTATATATACATGGAAAAACGGTATTTTGAGGGGAGGAGACCAATTTTCGACACAGATTCGACCTAAGGAGGCAGAGACACAATAGGAGCAAGGCGGGGAATTCTTCTACGAGTTTTTCCTTCCTTTTCCTATTTTTCATTGTTGGTTATGACTTTTAGTATTGTAGTTTTACATACTATTATGAATAGCTAATTTGTTATCTAGGGTTTTGATGGAACCTTTTGTAGGATAAATTCTTGTTATGTTTTTATATAATTGAGCCGTAGTATTTTCTCTATTTGTTCAACTATATTATTCTTGTGGTTGATTGAAGGGCCCTCAATTAGCTGTGCCTATTTAGTATGTATTACTCGGGAGAGAGTGCATATTTAGGTAGTTGTTGAACAACATCACTCCCGACGTATGTGAGGAATCAATAACCAAGGGTTTAAAGGTGGGATTAGGGATAACGGAACCTTGGGTGCGATCTAAGTGAGTTGTAATTAAAGCCAGCTAGCGTAACTCGGGACAGTATGTCTAGTAAATTATCGTAATTACTCGGGAGGGAATTACAACACGCAGAGCGCTCATGATCGGTAGAGAATACTTAGGCGAAATTATAGAAGACATAGCGGGAAGGATTCCAACAATTGGGGAAATCATAACTCTAGACCTCCTTAATCTTTTCTCCAACCTGTAGTATCTTTAGTGTTAATTTATTATATTAATTTGTTAGTTAGTTAGTTAAACACAAGAATCTTAATATCTATAAGTTAGAAATTGTTCAAGCTTGTATTCTTGGTAATAGTGAACAACTGTAGCTAAGCCTTAGTTTTCTGTGGGATTCGACTCCGGACTTATAAACCGGATAATATTTGCAGCTACCGCTTATCCTTTTTAGGACTAGAGTTGGGCGTAATCAGCAATCCATCTGCATCCTCCTTCGTGAAAGTGATATCGTCTTCGGCAACTTCCCGGAGTCTCTTGCTATGGGTTATTGATACTTTCATTTTTTTTACTGCCGAAAAGGTGACCCTGTTGTTCTCGTTCCCCCCGAAGATCATGTTGATCGTCTGGCACGGGGGATCTTCCCCTGCTTTCGAGGGTTACGCGTTGTCCCGGTTGCGACCATAATTGTTCTTCGCCCGGTCACTCAAGATTTCTCTAAGATGACCATTCTTCAACAGTGTCGCCACTTTTTCCTGGAGATGTCGGCAGTCCCCAGTCTGGTGTCCATTCGTTTCGTGGTATTCACACCACAAGTTGGGATCCCTCTGGCTGGGATTGGATCTCATCGGCTTCGGAAACCATGCTTCTTTGATGTTTCTCATAGCTGATACCAACTTTACTACGCTGACATTAAAATTGTATTCTGATAGCCTGGGGTAGGAAGGATCCCGTGTACCTGGCGTTTCCTTGTCCTGCAATGATCTATTGTTCCAACCGCGATCAGACCTTCTGTTGATAGCGAATCTATCTACTGATCAGAAACCTCTGTCGCGGCCTTCGTTCCATTCGTAGGGCAAAAATCGGCCCCTCGAAGACCGTCTGTCCGTGTCGAAGTCGTCTTTTGATTTTTCTTTATTCTTCTCCCGTCCCTTTGCCGACGACCGGAAACCGACCTGATCATCTTTGATCCTTATCTTTGACTCGTACCGGTTGTGGACATCCGCCCAAATAGTTGCTTGGAACTCAAGCAAACTATCCTTCAGTTTTCGGGAAGCATCTGAACTTCTCAGATCCAGTCCTTTGGTGAATGCTTCAGCCGCCCATTCGTATGGAACACCTGGGAGCAACATCCTCTCTTTTTGGAACCGGGTAACGAACTCTCGCATCAACTCGGATTCTCCTTGAGAAATTCTGAATATGTCGTTCTTTCGGGCCTGCACCTTTCTGTCCCCGGCATGAGCCTTAATAAAAGAATCTGCAAGCATCTCAAAAGAATTTATGGAATCCTCGAGTAACGGTGAATACCACGTCAAAGCTCCTCCCGTGAGAGTCTCTCCAAATTTCTTCAGCAAAACAGATTCAATGTAGTGAGGAGCTAAATCATTCCCCTTCACCGCTGTTGTATAGCTGGTAATATGCTCCCGAGGGTTAGAAGTTCCATCATACTTTGGCACGCTAGGCATTTTAAACCGTTTCGGGATTAATTCTGGTGCCGCGGGAGGCTTGTACGACAACTAATCATACTTCTTTAAGTCCGGTCCTTTCAGCACCGGTGGTGCGCCCGGGATTTGGTCCATGCGGGCGTTCACCTCTCTCATAAACCGTAAAAGTTTATTCTTGAAGGGATCGTTTTCGTTATTGGGGCGGGATCCACTCCCCTAGCTCCATCGGAACCAACCTCTCCCCTTGGGGTGTTGTTATCGACCCTCTGCGTTGTTTAATTTGTGAGAGCGCCGGAAAAAACTGGATCTCGTCTATTCGCGTTATTGGAAGCTCCCGATAGCTCCTACTTCAACTCTGTCATAACCTTATCCTGTCGTGTGAGGTGGCCTAGAATGATCGCTTGTTGTTCTTGTTGGACCCTTACCGCATCCACAACATGTTCCTCTTCAGCGTCATCGGGAGTTGCCTCCTGAACATGTCGCGGATATCGCCTGTCATGTACCACCGTGGCATCGTTCCCCTCATTGTGGGTGTCACTGATTGAATCCTCGAAATGAGGTTGGTCTCCTCGAACCTCAGGATTGTGTGTGTTGTTAACATCATTATCTGCCATTTCTTATGATTTTTTTCTAAGACAAATAATAAAAACACGTTAGTAAAAAAGGCAAGGATCAATTTAATTACACGGGTGTCTAGGCCCCACGGTGGGCGCCTAAAATAATAAGATAATTGAAGAAATATGTAACACTTAGCCTTGATATAATAAAGACGAAATAGCAGAAATAATGATCCCGGCAGCAAGGCCTCCGGGCACAACAGTAATTAAAATAAAAAACAAGAGGATAAAATTGTATAGAGCTTTGAATAGATTATAGTATCAATTTGCCAGAAAATTCATGTCCTTTACAATGATAACAGAGCTCACTATTTATAGCTATGACTAGGGAACACGGTCCTAGGATCGTGCACTTCTTTAATGTCAATGAGGGTCATTGACGAATGTGTAACGGTGAGCATAAATGACAAATCCTTTGTAACGGGCAGTACACTCAATACTGTGGAATATTCTTCATTAATGCCACCGGGCGGAGGGTATTTATTGCCTATTTATGAGTGCCATTCATTCCGATACCAAACGGGATAATTGCCTTCAGTTCCACGTGTCATTCTTGTAAGCGGCCACTTGTCGTAGCATATTTTACCCTATACACATAGATCAATAAATAGAAAATATGTGTCTAATATAGAGATTTTAATCACTTAATATATTTTTATTTTATTTTAAAGTTATATTATTTGATTTACGCAAATAAATCAATAAGAGTAAGTGTTTTTTACCTTTACATTGGTAGAGAACAACTAGCGATGAGTCAGGTCTCGATTGAGACCTAAGAATGAACGTTTGTCATATTTTCTTTTAGTCATGTCAATAATGTTTGTCATTCGGACACATTTATGACTACTATCACTATGTACTGTACAAATTATTGTATTATTGAAAACTATTACATATAGACATTATTGAACCTAAAAGAAGTTTCGCCTCTTGTTGATGAGTAGTTAAACTTCTTGTTTCGTCTGCTCAATTTTGTACGTCCTTTTTTTTAATTGTCAAATCAATAAAGTTTGAAATAAAATCAAACAAAAATAGTATTTGGAGAAAATTGAACTAGAAATAAGATGGCAAGATAAGTGACACTGACTTTGAGTTTTAACGCATTAGAATGTTCAAGAAGATGATAACTTGTAGTTTATTATTTATTGTTCACGTTGGTTTTCAGAGTTGAAAAAGTAAACTCTAAATTTTCTTGTTTTTCTTAGTATTTGTTTTTAAAAAAATTTAGGGACGATAAAAAATTTGTAAAAGCACAATTACTACTATAATGTGGGCAATCACTTGTTAGTCATGTACTATATGGCTCGGCATACTCGTGCAGCGCACGTGCCGAGAAACTACTTTTCTTAAAAGTCAAATACAAGTAATTATATTTATTATAAAGTGTAGTTGTAACATGAAAAAGATGATAAACCTATATAAACTTTTTGAAAACTTAAACATACAATTTCTTGTCAAATGGGCATTCACTTAAACTCGATCAAACTCTGAACAAATTTAAATATTATAAACTATAACGAAAAAAGAAAATAACCAGGTAACAAGTGAGTTTATCGTTCTAAAATAAAAACTACACGATGCAAAAAAAAAAAAAAAAACAAGGTAAAAAGAGTACATAGGCTTGAATTAGGTCCAACGAGTTTCAAAAGTTAGGTTACATGATTGCAATATTAGACAAAAGTATAAAAAAGTTAGGGTGCTATTGCTATATGACCCCCAAAAAATGAAATAGAGGGAGATGTGGGGAAGGAGGCAAACCCTATCACTTACAACTCATGAAGAAGAGGATGATAGCTTTATGTGGGGCTTAATTTCTTATAAGAAAAGCTAGAACAAGGAATCCTTATCAATAAAAACGATTGTTCAAAGGCAAGTGTCATGTGCATGCAAAGCTTAAAGCCATGAGATTTGAGTGAGATTCATTATGAAAAAGCAACAATATCCCATTTAAGTTATTTGGTAAAATTATTTGGACCACCTTATTAAGTCCTTGGCCACCACTTACTTGAATATCTAATTAATCATATACTCCCTCCATTTCAATATGTGATAGGTCGGCATAAAGTTTAAGAAAGTTTCCTCATTTTTTACAATTTATAATTTTAAATATATTATAATATTTGTATTAATATTTCATAGCAGTTGTATGACTATACAAGCTTCTCATTAAGGGTAATGGGTAAAATAAAAAGACTGAAGTTAAATTGATTTCAAATATTTTAAATGTGTCCTCTTTTTGATGAACAACAAAAATATATCTCATAAATTGGAAGGGAAGGAATGCATCTCATTCCAGAGTTTTAAATGGACTATATCTACAATTAGACTATTCCTTTCCATCTTCTTTCCAGTCCAAAAGTAGTTTGAAAAATGCTTTGTTTTCATAGTAAATGATGTAAAGATGGGCTATATCCAAAAAGGCTATAAATATATATAAATATATAAGGTGTATGAGATGTTTAGGTCCAAAACTTGTGCTAAAGGCCCATGTCATAAGAAACCCCTTTATTATCCCTACCTTTCTCTACTCCTAAATCTGTATATGAGGTGAAGGATATACTCTTGCCAAATATACTTACTTGCTTAATATATAAAAGATCTGTTTATTTCATTGTATATTTCTTATTTCAAATGGTTTTAAATTGAAAGTTTATCTTTATCTAAAAGGAAACTAATGACCAAATATTTCACCCTTTATGACTTGTTCAAAGTCCCTTCACTTCGATTATTTCTTGAAGATTTTCCATATGTTCTTTTTTGCCTCACTGTCATCACACCAATTGATCTTGTAAACTAATATTGTCTTATTAACCAATTTTATTGTAATTTCGTTATATGCAACATTACTTATTTAAAAATAGAGAAACCCTTTTTGAATGAGTCTTTTGAATGCCTTTTGTGAAGCACTAACAATCAGTAATGATAAACTTTTCGAGTTAATAGTTTTTTGCTTTTTTCCCCAAAGCTTCATCACTTTCGGTTCTCTGAAATCACCTCAAAGTTGAAAAGGATTAGTTGCTTAATAACCTAATTAACTTACAATAATTTAAAATTATCACTATCTCAAAGAGTAATTTCACCACGCATCACTGTCCATAAGATTTGAGTATTGCGTGAATTAAGGAAACATCAGACGTCCAATCACAGATGATAAAGTTGATGCTTATTTAATTGCTGGAGTATTTTGTTTGGATTCAAAGACTCAATTTCCAGATCAAAGATGTTAATTTTACTAAGTATTATCTTCTCACGTGTGAATAACTTATAGAGAGGTCTGAATCAACTTGAATTCAGGACCGCTATTCGAAATCTTAGTGAAATACTGAATTACTTATCTCATGTTTGCTTTTCGTGAAAAATACCAATTGAAGTGGAGGATATTTTCCAACAACAAGGGGCCGGTTCAACTATTCAATCAAATGATATTGATCATGTTTTCCATCTCTTCTCGAGAAACAAGTGGGCCCCGGCGCCCAGCTCAGCTGGAGAGGCCTAGCCTGATTTGAGAAGTGCTACTTCGATTCGGATAGACATCATTCAAGAATACCACCGCCCCATGAATCACCACAGTTGCTTGAGAGACAACCACCTTGCATCCCAACCTTCTCGACTTTCTTTGGTGTCAAAGACCAATGACTAGTTAACCAGGAAAACAACTATTTTGTAGCTTTCTTTAAATATTTTCTCTTAAATAGAGTGACCGCTATAGAAAACATAAAAAGAGGAAGGGAATCGTAAGAAACAATGAATTTCACATGAATTTCACGACCAAGCAGTCTTCCTTTTATCCTTCATAAGCATATAAAATTGCTCCCTCCCCTCCCCCCAAGGATTTCCAATTGAAGAATCCTAACCGATTCAATAGGAAAATAAATATATGAGTTTCGGTTGTTCAAAGTATAAACCAGAAAAATAAAGTTCAAATGAACTCTGTTTATCCTTAAAAATGGATAACAATTAAATTTATACCCGATTTTAAGGATATGCGGATTAATTCAATACAAGTGATTTATGGCGTTAGATAAGCAAATAAAAGATAGAATAAACAGCCAAACCAGCAGTGATATTGAGTCCGGGCTCGGTTAAAAGTTTAACAAGTAGCCTGCCTTCAGTTCGGAGCCAACACTTATGAAGAACTACTGAGAAAAGGTAAGAACTTTGAATAGCTTTTAGAAACAAAGAAAACCGATGTATATTGCCTTGGTATGCCTGTTACGGGGAGTCCATTGAATAATAAACCTCCCATTTATATAGTAGGGGAATTTTACCCTAAATACAATTCTAAGAAATGTAAAGAACTTCCTTTTCACTAATACTGATCTACTGCCGATATCGGTCGAGATTCACACCGTGATATCCGGTCAGGCACGGATATCACGACCTTCTGTTAATCGTGTGCGGACG